ACCGCAATATACCGTAAGCTATAAAACCATTACAAAACATAAAAGACTCGCCAGTCAGGTAGGCAGTCGATTGCACCAACTCACTTAACCATTAAGTAGAGGACATTGCTGGGTTCAAACGGTGTAAAAGTATTAAGCCCTTAATCTCATGAACATTTATTAGGAAATCTGTCAAATTTACTCATTATATTATTATTCATATTTGCAATAATAAAGCTGATTGTATACTCTTTCATACACGAGAATATTAAAATTCCTTTTTTTAATTAAATGCGTATTTCTTCAGTAAGTTTGTTACCATTGGAGAGCCTGTTTTAACCCAAAGTATTGTTGGCAAACGAATAGCTTTAATTTTCTGCCAATGTAGGATGGATTATTTAGTTATCATTGTCATAGTCAACGCATTCGTTAACCCTCGGTATAATCAGCGAGAATGGTGTGTCTTCTATTGGCCATTTCTGTAAATAGAAATCGTAATGTTATATCTACTTAATAATTAGTTAGAAAAACATTTCAGAACAGGACTTAATGAGACTTTACCCGTTTCGAGGGCAAGATTGTAGGCTCGCAAAGCGAGGACATATGTTCTTTCATTCTTTCACTTTCGTCACAGATGGCGTTGTCAAGGTAGTCAGTCAACTGCATCCATTGTTGCTGCCACACTCCGCCTAAATCGAAGTATACGTACAGGCAGCTGAAGAGCCCGACCATCGCTGCTGCTGCAGCTGTACTGCAATTAAACGTGCTGCCACATTGGCCGTATTAGCTTGGAGTCGTCTATCATATGTTCCTTCTATCATTATTTAAATTCCCTGACCTGCTAACAGTCATTAATAATTCACTTCTCTGATAGTAAATAATTACAAATCTGTGACTAGCACATTTCCTTTTGTTTCATATTAATAATGAGTTTGCTCTAACTGCATTTTCAACTCCCCATCCCTGTCGAGAAGTTTTCTTCTCACTCACATTTTTTCCATCTGTATCTAATATCTTATACTCGAAAAAAATGCAAGCGCGATGTATACATGACTACAGTCCGAAAAGGTACTTTGTACGAAAATCTTCAGCGATTGTCTTGCGACTGTCGTATCTCGTACTAACTAGGATTTATAGCTCGGTGGGGCGGTAAGAAAAAGTCAGTCGTTTGCGTTGGTCTTAATAATAATTATATGTGCGTCTTACGTCAATGTGTGGTAATATTGAACATACTTTTACATACTTTTTCAGTCTGTAAGTTCAAATGATGCATGTATTCAACCACAAAACATCTTGGTAGGATCTAACGATATTATAATGTTATTATCAGAAATAAAAAGCGTCACACGTGACAGTTAAGTTTACTTGCGTCAAATTGTAAATGTTTATATTAAATAGGTAATACAAGGTGTTGTTGAAGGCTTTAGTATCGCAAATAGAATAGACTTGTGGCGTGCGAGAAGCACGCGAACGGCACGTGAGCAGATCGCACAACGTAATGCACGCGTGTAGCTCGCGACTTTATCGCAAACAGCATTTGCGGCACATTCGCCAGATCTGTAGGCACCCTTACATGAAAAGAGTTTGGAATGAAAAATCATAATCTAGCTTAAATTTAATTTGTGTAGTCGGTTAATTAATCATTTCGATTATCCTATTTTATCTGCGACACTAAATAAACCCTTGCATTCATTTAAGAACGGAAATAAAACAATAACCAATTTTATTTAATTTTTTCTTTTATTACTTTTATTTTGCCATGAAAAATTTTCTTAAAAATTTTGAAGGTGGAAAATCATGATCACTTTTTAATTTATAATTTCTTCAATTGTATGAATATGTTCTTCTTTGGCAAGCTACGTAAACGGTTTTATCAGAACAAACCCTTGTTTTAATTCACCTTTAGCACCGCATAGTATCTCAAAAATCTTCTCTTCAACCCTCGTCTAATTTCGTCACTTTGAAATGATTGTTTGATGTGATGAAAGACCAACAAACTTTTACATCACCTAACAATCACTATCCCCCTGAAAAACAATATTGTTGACATTAAGAGTAATAAAAGCTCCGAAAAGTAAATTGAAAATAATCTTATACGTAGTGAATATTACTGCGTTATTTACTAAGTTACGAAAACTTTTGTACAAATAAAAATACGAAAATAACCGAATGAAATACTGAAAAAGAAGTTACGAAAAAATTTGCTGACGTAATACTACTCTACTAACTTAATTTGTAGTACCTATTATTAGTCATTGACCTGAAAACATGTTGGGAAACGCAAACAAATTCGCTTCTGACATCTGCTTTTTCATATACTAAGCTAACCTACTGGAATAGGGGGCGCAGCCAAGATTTGACCTACGTAAAATACATTTGTTTTCTTTTAAACCACCATGAAATCCAGTGGTTAACAATAATAATTTTGTCTAAACGAAGATGCAGCGTTGTAAAGTGTATTATGGAAAACAGACGCTACTCCCTCCGCACCTTCAGCTTTTAAATTATACTCTAATATCGAACAGACAAGTACCACAGCGAGTCTGGTTTAATTATGTAAGAATAATAATATAAACTAAACAGGTGCCTACCGTGTGGTGAAAATGTTTCTATAGAAAATATTTTTATATGTATTTTCGGTAAGTTAGTATTTCTTTCGGAAGTTTGGTATATTACTCGGAAGTACAGTTGTCTATTTCTTAGAATTGTAAATTGAACAAGCTCTTGATTGATTGCTGAATATAAATAATTTTGACGGTTTATTTTTCAGTTAGTCACACTTCAAGTTTAAGTGTATTCCTATGTTTTAATTTATGTAAGGTCAGCCGTTATAATGAATAGATGGGAAGGATGGATAGCTATAGTTTACGAGCAAAAATAAACGGAATTCTACTGAGAGGACGATAATAAGGCATTTTGTGGAGTCGCCTGTTTTACAGCCGGGTGCCCAAATATTTAGTTACCCAGGTAATTTCCTTAGAAAAAAATCCTTATTACCATCAAAAACTTCACGAAATCATATTCTATTACCCCATAATAATTAAAAAAGCAAGAAGATCGAAATCGAAACAATCTGTGTTACTTATGTAAACACAGAGGTATTTCTCAAATTTTATTAATCAAATTATATAATTATGTCAATCCTCAACGTAGGGTTCGTCAGAACGACACAAATATAAATCAGTCACATAAAAATTAATAATTGCAATTCGCCAAACTTAGCCATTTTTATCTATTATTACAATGAAAAAGGACCGCTCTGAATCTTAGCTGGTTCAAACGTCCTCACAACACTGGCAGCATTACCGCGCCAAATGGCCAAATTTGTTACACCAAGTAACTTCCAGAGCGTGGATCACAGCCTCTACCTGTAAACCGACGACCCAATCCCCATATAAAAAAATAAATAACGCCTTAAGAACTAAGCGGGTGAGTTTCTTGTCAACGAAATTTAAAGTTTTCGATTTGATTAAATTAAATATCGGACAGAACCATTAGTAGGGAAATAGGCTTCTGCTTCTTCTTCTATAAACATAATTACTGAACTAAGTACTTACGTTTTCCTCGGACCCACATTTTTGGCTCTCACAACACATGGCTATAATAACGTATCTCTGAATGTCTTTGTATTTCTGTTTAATTAAGCAAGTCATGTTGAAACATTTCCAAGCGGCTCGGATCATTCCGATAAAGGTCAGCAAACATGCTATCTGGGCGAGCCAGTACAAGGTACCATGAGGTGGTCGGTAAGTACCTTTCGCCCGAGCAGTTCGTTCTTCTATTCGGTATCGTCTCTCCTGTTCTTCAGCCGCTTGTGCTATTTCCTTTTGGCGCTGTTTTTCTCGCATGACTTTAGCAATCTTTGCGGACTTTGAGTTGAAGGTCTTAGAATTTACTGCAACACTCGCGAGCACATTCGTCAATGATTCCCCTGTTTCGACCCTGTGTGCTATTTCATGTATTAAATTCTTAACGGCAAATTCCCTCGCTTTTTTAATGTGTGATTCTTCTCTTTTTCGCTTTATTTCTAATTCACGTTTCTCTAGAAGTTCTTGCCGCTTTACTTCAGTTTCAATTTGTACTATCTCCTGCTCATCTCTCCGTCTCTGTTCTTCGGCTACTGTATCTAACCCCTCTTGCAATATGGCTGGGCAGGGCACACAACTTTCTGGACATGGTGCACACGGTCCACTGTAAATAAAATCCGACAAGATTAATACATACACGGGTGTTATATAAAAATGTCACTCAAGATTCAGAAACGATTAGACAACGAATTGTATCTATCTTTAGATCGTCTTACCTTGTCTCCATTGCTTGTTTATCTAACTCCTTTGCTCGCTTGCTTAGCTTGATTGTTTAAATCTTTTGTTGGTGGTTTAAATCCTTTGCATGCTGGTCTATAGTGTTTTGCAATTCTGTTTGATGCAATACGCTCTGTTCTGGACACGCTACATTCACCGGTCTGCTGAAAATACAGTCCGACAAGGTAAATATGACTGAAGTGTACATTTGTGAGTCATTATTATCAAGAATGCCAAAATAATTATTAGATATTTAAGTGTAACGTTCATAGGGTTTCTTGTCGGACTGCATCTTGCATTAAAGTCTCAACTTTCATTTCCTTTGATCACAAATTCATAAAAATAAATAGGTTTACTTTAAACAATATTGGCTTTACGAGTTATTGCTACACTAGACGTAATACTTAAGTCAATACAGGGGATAGTGTTTATGCATTAATGTTTTAGTATAGGTACCCCAAAAAGGGTCTACGTAGACCTAAAGGACAGAGTAGGCAAGTAAATTATTTGTTAATAAGGTAGCTATCGCAAGGTAGGTAACGAATTTACCAAAAGACAAGATTTCAGCAACAGTCCTATTCCTACTTAAACTGTTTGATTTTTTTTAATTTAGGCAAATGAAAACATTTATGTTTCTAAGCACAAAAATGAAACTAATATAAGTAAATACTATTACTTATATATTTCTTTATTTATTCAGCATTATATTACGTATAAAATATTATATATTCTGTTGAGCTGTTTCGAAATGCACTATTATCAAAAATCATCCTGTTCCCAAAATGAATGTGACAATCAAGAATCCATTTGAAATATTTTCTATTCTTCTATTTCATCCACAGACCACTCTCCGTTCTGAGAATAAAACAAAAACAAGCATTTATTTCTGAATATGTGTAAACAAACAAGTTACTCACGAAAAGCAAATTAAACTTACTTTCTTCGTAACAAAAACATGAGGACGATCCGGTAACCTACATTTGTACGCAGGTTTGGGTTTACGTCTTTCCATCTCATTGCAAAACGCTGTCGTAATGTACTTTGAAATCGCCTTCGCTTTCATTTTAATAACACAAGTCATGTTAAAGAATGTGTACAAATAAGTACTTATCCCGATAAACAGCAAGGCGCTTCCTATTAATGGTAGATAGTATTCGGGGCCGCGTGACGCGGCTAATGCCGCGGCCTCTTCACGTTCTTTTTTTTCTTTTTGTTCTGTCTTTATTTTCTCTCTCAATGCCTCTTTAGCAGCTGTCACTTGCGTTCTTTTTTTTCTTTCTTTCTGTGTCACTTTCGCGGCAACTATAACCTCGTTCTTAAGACTAACTCCAACATTTTCGAGAACTACAGTCACAGATTCACCACGCGCGACTCTCTCTGCTATTTCAGTTCTCAACAATGTCCTTGCTTCATGTCTTCTTATATCTCGTTCTAATCTCTTCTCTTTTCGCATCTGCCTTTGCTCTATTTTTCGACGGATCGTCTCTTCATCTTCCTCACGTGTCACATTTTCTCCTAGATATCCTTTTGCAGCATTTGTAGAGATGCAGGTGCAGTCTTCACCGGCTAGTTTTTGAGTTTTTACAGCGCTGAAATACAGCCCGACAAGTTAAAACGTATACATTAAAATTTTTAATCGAAAAAAAAACATTTGTACGGTTCCTTGTCGGACTGCATGTTAATAAAAATTTTAAAAAAAAGTTGCTCAGACGTAGATCTTCGGATGGTTTAGCCCCAGACTTTAGCCGCCATTAAATTTCATTGATTTTATCGACCAATTATGAATAACGTTTTCTAACATTGGACATACCTATTTACGATTTAAAAATAAATCCACAATATTGATCGTATCCAAAATAGTTGTTACAGAAAAGTAACGAAATTATTTTATTTCTTTATAAAAAGATAGATTAAAAAAACTTCGTTAAATTTCATGTTTATCGAGACAATGCACACGAATTGAACTCAATTATGGCAGCTAAAAGTGACCAAATATCTTGAATTATACTTATAACATGACTCCTAGTAAACCATAAAGTGATAAACAAAACAAATAACGAAATTTAACATATGTATACACATAAGTAAAGTCCTATGTAATCGAAAATATCGTATCGACCTTAGAATAATAACGCATAGAAACCTAGTCCGCACACGCTAAGGGAGGCAAATTGAAGCGCTCCCACGAGCGGGCGGGCCGTCAGTGCTCAAGGTCAACTTGCACCGCGAACAGCTCAAGAATTTTAGCTAAAAATGACGAAATGTGCGGTAAATGAGTGTAAAAAAACGTCAGATAAACATAAAATAGATATTAACATCACATTCCACAAGGAAGTAACGCGTTTCAACTTGTATTTTTATATAAATATTCACTAAAACCGAAAATTAACCTACTACTAAAACTAGCCTACATGAATTTGATTTTTGCCTCACTTGTGACAGTTCGTTTGATATGAAACTGAATGATTTCTATGCGTTATTATTCTAAGGTATCGACCATTTCGAATACAAGCAAAAAAGATATCATCGGCTAAATTTGATAACTTCGGAACTTCGTTTTTGAACGAAATCACTTTTTTACTTTTCAAGCACAATATCGGGCAATTGAAGCTTAAACTATACTTCGAACATCGTATCGTTTCATTTAGTTGTAAAATGATGGTATAATCGTAGATTGTTACATAATTATGTCTAGTAATTATGTTTTTTGTGACTACTGAAAAGTTGACATTAATGGAGGTTACGAAGTTTTCGACGACATGTAATTTAACAGCTATAAGAAGCAAATATTTTTTATGATACGAAAAACGCAAAGTCCACTGTGGTTGCTAATAACGGAGTGAGAGGTCGTCTCAAAAGTTGGAAATTACTAGATATATACTCAGCACTTGATCTCCGATAAACTTAAGAACTCATGTTTTACGGTAGAGGTTTGGTGGGAATTCATAAGAGTGTATAGGAATAAACAACGTAGAATTACTTCTACAAGCTGATCAGAATGTTGTTGACACTCACCAGTCGCACATGTTGTGATCTTGTGGCCCGTCAGATATTTATGGCAATTCTCTACAGGCCCATTCCTGTCAATTTTATTAGCTGAAGAGATTACGTAAAGGTGCACTGAAAATTTCCTTTATTTTGTCATGTTATTTGTGTTTAAATCCTCAATTAAAGGAATAATCACTACGGTTTTCCAGATTCAGATTTTGACGTCATCTTTCATTGCTTAATCATGTTGACAGCTAGTTTTTTCTTATCTGGTTTGCTGCTTATGTTAGCTTGCGTATATAAGACCCTACAAGGAAAAGATGTTAATGTTACAGAATTAAGTTACAGTTACTATTTTCAATCATCCATTCAACTGTGTACATTAAGTACATAGGGGAGAGCGGGTACAAAAGTAACAAACGCTGTGTAGAAATCCGATGGCCGAAATGACGCGCGATGCGTTAGCATCTAATAGTCTGTGGACGCGCGCGATCGTTGTATGTAGTGTTGCGTAACTTAGCGACTCCGTCGCTAGATTGACCAACATTTTGACAATAAAAGCGACATTTTGTTTCTACTTAGCAACAACAAATGTTTGGCGACTTTTTTGATGCCTTTTTAATTAGTTAGGTTTCGTCTATTAACATTTAATATGATTTCATCTTATCTCATATTTTCTACTCAATGGTAGGATTGCATTATGATGATATCAACTTTACTATTTGTTAAGTCAATTGTAATTAGATTATCGGTAGCATGTTATAAAATTAAATGATTATTGTGCAACACATTCAGTTTTGAGGTACTGGCATATGTAACAACAAAAACGTAATTGAGTACAAACTGACACATATTACGAACGTGCACCAGATGACACATATTACGTTTGCTGTAACTGCGATTCTGATTAGAAATGTGAATCTCAATAAGTTGATCTCATGAATGCTTAAAGAGTAAACTATTGTTGGAGAAGAGGAAGTTATTATATGTTTTTTGTTTTTCTTGAAAAGAAATATTTTATTTCGTTTTTTTATCTCGTAAATAAAAAAAATGATTTAATCATGCCTTTCATTTTCATTGTACATAATGATATTGCACAGGACGATAATAGTGGTACTTTCGACACGTACCGTCTTACTTTCGTCCTGTAACAACTGTAAATTTTTTTGCAGCTTTGTAAGAAACCATGTTTTTTGTTAGAAACCATGATATATTAAATAAAATTATAATATACATTTGTAAAGTATAGACGTAACTTGTAAAGGGTTATATTAATTTTATCGAAAACATGATTAATGGCCAGAAATAAAATAAAAAATACAAGGTGCATTGACTTACAATTATATGGACGTCGGGTCCGCGCTAAAAAGTGTCCGCACTTGTAAGGCGCTAAAATCGTATACAGAGCGCGACACTCCGCTTTAGTCTTCATTTGTTCGACTGACAGCGCGATACTGCGATGACATTACAATTTAAATTTCGAATAGGTTGACTTGGGACATTTTTTTCGTGGTTTTTGTATTAGACCCGTCGTCCATTTATTTGTAAGTCAATGACAAGGTGTTAATTTTGTGCCCGGTCCCCCTTACTATGTTCTAAGTTGCGTATGGATACTTGTCTGTATCATATCGGATGTTCCTAACTCTTACCTTCTAACTTATGTATATTTATATATTTTATTTTATTTATTTAGGACAACCTACAAGTCATACACTTAATACATACAATTTTGATTATACAATTCAAATGGAATAATGCTAAAGTGTTGACTCAAAGGTTGCAACTACATGCAACACAGTCAAACACAGTTAATTATTTATATACATAATATATACAGCTATTCTCAATTTTTTTTTTATAACATGTAGCACAATATATATTTCAAATAGCAAATATAGAAAGATATCATAAACATTACAAATAGGAAGAAAGTAAGATGTTTACAAAGATAAATAAAAATTACTTATGCAACTGCATACTTATACTGCAATACTAAATATATATTATACTGCATTACAAATAAGGCTTGAAGTACCATGGTTATACCGTACAGCTGCCTGGTAATAGGTTGGTGATACACCAAATATATCCACAAACTCACTGCAATCGTTGTACAGTCTGCATAGTCTAGATATAGGAGAGTGAAGCCACAATATAGTATTGCATCTAGGTAGATGCTTGATTGCGTATCGCGGGTATCATGAGGATACCTTAAGTGAAATCATCCTCGATAATTGGGGACAATTAATTTTGGCTGTTATCAATTTATTCAGGAAGATAAGATCACGAACGTCCCATTGTCTAGTCAGAGATACCATGTTTAATCTACTAAGTCGATCGGCATACGAATACCTATACAATATTTATGTATATTTACTTAGTTTTTATATAATAAATGTGTAATGTGGCATACAACAGAGGATACATACAGTATGTACCATTCCCTTAGGACTTCAGTAGCGGTAGAACGCCTTGTGAAAGAGTTCGTCCAAGGATGTACTGCCACCTTAATTATTTCTGCCGCCAAACAGTAATGTAAGCATTACTGCGTTCCGGTTTTGAAGGGTAACGGTGCTGGTGAAGTTACAAGGGACTTGTCAACTTATGTCTCAGGGTGACGGGCGCAGTGGCAGTGCCCCCTGAGATCTTTGCGGTTTAAACTGTCACTTGATGTCATTGACTTACAAATAAATGGACGACGGGTCTAATACAAAAACCACGAAAAAAATGTCCCAAGTCAACTTATTCGAAATTTAAATTGTAATGTCATCGCAGTATCGCGCTGTCAGTCGAACAAATGAAGACTAAAGCGGAGTTTGGCGCTCTGTATACGATTTTAGCGCCTTACAAGTGCGGACACTTTTTAGCGCGGACCCGACGTCCATATAATTGTAAGTCAATGCTTGATGTCATAAAAAAAAACTCAGCTGACGCTGAAACAGGGTCGCCTGAAAATCAGTGTCTCGACCGAGATAGACTTATAGATTATAAGTCGTATCCTTTTCCTCTTTTTGCGCCACTAGGCACACTTACTAACTTAAAATTATTCAGTCACTTGTTGTTTTACACTTAAGTACTAGATTTAAGTGTGTGTCTGTGTCTGTATACTGTGTATACGGACTTGTACTGTGGAGCAACTTAATAGTTTTAGAAAGTGCGTAGGTTCAGAAGAAGGGTATTCGGGCGATTTTAACTGCCTCTGTGGCCGAACGGTTACCATGCCGGACTGCCACGCAGAGGTTTCAGGTTCAATTCCCGGGCCGGGAGAAATATTTGTATGTCCTACATTTATTTCTCTCGTGAGTTTGGATATCATTTGTGGTTGTCTATGTGTGTGACCATGGCACCCGCGACACAGGGTTTCCCTAGTGCGGGGCTACATTGTGTGTGCGTTGTCATTATTATTATTATCTGTGGTGCGTGATTCGACGAGAGCTGTAAACCGTTGCTCAAAAAACTAAACACCTACTGCCTGTGCCATTCATGTACACACGCCAGCACATAAAGCTACACATTGACGTATCTTGTTCCGTTGCACTGGAGGCGATTTTCGAACAAAAATGTGTAGTCTGATGTGCCGTTGTCCATGCATTAGAGATATCTATGTATTTGTCAAAACTTATCCTCAATATTTCAAAACACGTGGTGAAATTATTCAAAAAATTTGTCATAATTATTAAAATTATGAATCGTTTGTATCAATCTCGTTGCCATAAAGTATATATAAGAAACACTGTTACAATATGTGTATATTTATTTTCAATAATTTACCAAATGAGATGAAATTGTTACAAGGACATACTGTTATTACAATGAGCAAAATGGCTTTTGGGACATTGCTTCTAAAGCAATAATGAATATTTAGAATTTTCAAATATAAATTTATATTAATAAATGCAATACACACACAGCAGAGACCGAACAGGAAAGCCTATCAACATGTGCACATCTGCTTGCAGCTTGAATACAATGTACCTAATTTTAATTAAGACCTTTATCATTACTGTATTCCGGCAAATAAACGTATTCTATTCTCTAGTGACCAATGGCGAGGCGTCAATATATGTCGTTTCCCACCGGCTGTTTGCAGAAAAATTTTCACGTTTTACTAGTAATTCACTAAATTATGTGCTCAATTTTATGTGTAGAATAACTTAACCTGTAAAATGAAGTGTAGGTACTGGTACTTGGTACTTGGTACTTGGTGTAACGGGCTGGTGTCCGCAACTCGACGTCAAGGCGCCTATTTTGCGTGTGGTGGGTGCAGGGTTCTACTCGTGCCACCCAAGCTCCTCCAGGAATCTCAGCAGCCTCCTCGGTTTGCTGAAGACTTCGGGGAGTGACCTTGGCACTCCAAGGTACTTTGCCCTGTAGTTGGCCACGCCGGAGCACTGTAGTAGGATGTGCGCAGCCGTTTCCCCCCTCCTCCATGCACGCTCTGCATAGAGGGCTCTCTGTGATACCTAAATTGAAAAGGTGTTTATTGTATGGACCATGACCTGTTAGGGCGGCAGTTAGATTGCGAAGCTCTTGCCTGTTGAGTTTAATTAATATTCGTGATAGACTGGCATTGAGCATTGGGAGTGCTTCCCTCGCCTGTCTACGAACCGTAAGGGTGGTCCATGTATTATTATATGAAGTTTTTGTACCTTTGTCACTATGGGTTCTGGTCCTACTGCGTCCGTCTCCGACCCTTTTCTGGCTAGTTCATCTGCTGCATCATTGCCACGTGAGCCGCTGTGTCCTTTAATCCACTGTAGAGTTAAGTGGTTTTGTATACATACCTCCATGAGTGCTTGATGGCATTCGTAAATGAGCCCTGAGTTTATGTCATAGCTGTTCAGTGCTTGAAGTACTGACATACTGTCAGAAAGTATTCGAATGGAGTGGTTCTTTACTCTTTCCGCTATGATTGCTTCTACCGCCAACTTGATGCCCATGCATTCAGCCTGGAATACTGTGTTGTGGTCACCAAGCGGTGTTGATATCCTGCTATTGAGGTCTTCTGAGAATACCCCAGTACCTGTTCCTGAATTTGTTTTAGATCCATCGGTGAAGACGCGGACCTCTCTGGGGTTCAATCCTTCATTTGGATCTTCAAACAATTGTATCTTGTATTTTTTGTCGAGGTACTGGTATCTTGTGTGCTAATAAATGTTCGATTAAGTGTCACCTAGGCGCCACTTTTTGTTAAGGCCTAGGTTTTTTGCTTTGCACCGAATTTAGTAACGACAATTTTCACGTCCCGCCACTGCTAGTGACTGAATTTAATGAATAAACATTTTTCTTTTCTTTCATATAATAAGTCATATAACTACCTCGATTATATTAGCCTTCACATAAAAAACCACTTTGAAGTCAGTCTATCCTTTTGGGGGATACGATGCCACAGACACATACAGGCCGACAAACGGTCAACACATACAAAGGCTTCATACTCGTAACTCCCCTTTTATACAGTACAGTAGATGATCGATTTAGTTGGTCGATACATGTAGATTGCGACAGATATTTAGGCAGATTTAATATGCTTGCTTATTGTACTCCTCGTGCGATCCTACATATTCTATATCGTGATCTTGTTGAATCTATAAAAAATTGCTGTGAGGGAACCTATGGTACTATCTACGTAACACATCTTAACAAAATTAAGTCACTCGAACATCGGGTATATAACCAGATATAGAGATGAAATTAGTACCATCCATCCCTGGCAACTCATTAGGCAAATGGGCCTTATATAAGTTTTAAATATCAACTCTCGTTTGCACTGAAATCACAAATTAGGAAGCTAAAATAGCACAGCGCCAACAACTGACCTGTATGTACGTCTCCGTATATTCCAAAAATATTCTGTACTTATTGTAATAAAGATAATATCTCTAACTATGGGAACTTTTGCATTCGGTGGTGTGGGGAAAAACAGCAAAACATCGTATTATAAAACAAACGAGATCACATTTCATCGATAATTATATTGAATATGTAATTTTTAAATTTTCATCCATTATAACAAAGCTCAAGTTAAATTGGTCCATTTAAAGGGAAACAATCGACGACACCCGTCAATTGTTTCGAATTCGGGCTGGCCAATCGGAGCGCAACTGTCACCGTAATGATTTGGCAGAATAGTTTTTACATTACATTAAATGACATTTTGTCTATATTTCTGGTTATATACTCGATGCACTCCAAATACTGTTCTTAGAGCTGTTAGCTGATAAAAAGGTGCGTAAGAAGTGTAAAGGAACGCAAAATTATTAGATAATTCCTGTTGAAAAAAAATGTTCGCTTTCTCAAATATTACAAAAATATTCAAGTCATGCATATAAAGCACCGAAAAATTATAATTATCCAACAAGACAAACAACGACAGGCAGCCATGAAACTTGTAAAACAAATAACGTATCTATAATTAACGTATCTATTCAATTACAGTCTTCCATCATACTTAGAAAATATTAAAGTAAGTAAAAAGTCTGTTAAAAATGTGTTAGTATTAAAAAAAATTGCTAGATATGATGTAGATAAATATTGAAAAACTATAATATTGGTAACTGAATGTAATGTTTATGTGACTGTAATATTAAGCATAGCAACCAAACTCTCCCGATAAGTTTGGGAGAACCTTATTTGTAAAAATGTCATTAAGAGGATAAACATTAACTAAAAAAAAAGGTTGGTATTAAAAATAATATGTAATACTTTGTATCTAATTACTATGTATTATTTAATAACAATAAAAGCAAAATTATAAACATCTCAAACAACAAACAGATTTTTTTATAATGTCGATATGTCGGCCAACACAATCAAGTAATCGTTGAAACTGTAGCATTAATAGTAAACAGAGTTGAAACAAACATACATCATGTTTGGCGGCGAATTTCAGTTATGGTCAACTACACGTTCTTACAAAATGGGCACGCGAGGTTACAGTTAAAAGGTTTGGTTCTGACAGATGCCCATTATATGGATGATATGTCAAACATGGCTACCACGGCCAAACCTATCAGTCGAAGTTTAGTCGTGTAATTTTGACGTTCTTCCAAACAAAGATGAAAATTTTGTCATGAACTTTCTCCCTTTTCTATGCCTGAAGCAATCCGCAACTCTTACCGTCTGCGAAAAATACTGAAGATAAGTCGATGGTGCCTAAATCAACAAAACTTTACACCACTCATCAGTATAGCAGCAAAACAAGCTTCACTCCGCAGTATTCGTTACACATACCTCCAAAAGGATTCGGAAAAGATTTTCTATTGGCATAAATTCGTTCGACATACTAGATTATGTACTCGCTTATGGTTCTGGAACGTCATAAAGAAAAGAACATTATGTAGGTTTTAGCGTTTGGTAACTATAAAATAAAGCACGAAACACAGAAAGCGGGTGCGAGTCGAGTCTCCCGACTCGACGGGGCGGGTCAAATCCGTGTATTTATATGGACGACAACACACCGAGCGCGTACACGGGACGGTCGCACGCACACAGAGAGCGGGTGCGAGTCGGGTAGGGAGCACGGCAGGTCAAATTTATGTGTTTATTTATTTAACTTTATTGACCACAACACATAATGGCACAAAAGGCGGACTTAATGCTAAAATCATTATCTACCAGTCAACCTTTGAGAAAAACTAAATTCACGATTGCAGCAAACTAAACAAAATATTAAATTAATAATGTATTAATAATATAATGTAATAAATATATAATCACCAACAAACCTAATGTATAAATATCTATATACATAATACCTATATACACCTATACCTATGTTTTATGCAATTCCATATGCGGAAATCAAAGTCATTTATATCTAACCCTAAACTATATGCTCACCATTGTTTTGACCCTACTAACAACCTGTGTAAATGTCCAGACATTGCTATTACTAACAAGATAAAGTATTTAGGTGTTATATTAGATGACATCCTATCCTTTAAACACCATATCGAAGCACTAAGCGCCCGACTCCGTAAGTTAATGTTTGTGTTTAAAAAACTGCGCGTTTCTGCTGATTTTAAAATAATCAGGCAAGTTTATTATGCATTATGCCAATCATTAATTACTTACTGCATTACATCATGGGGTGGTATAGCTAAAACTACTTTACTAATCATTGAAAGAGCCCAGCGAGCTGTCCTAAAGGTTTCTACCTACCGCCCTTTCCGTTACCCCACTGACCTTCTGTATAAGTCATGTAAAGTATTAACTGTAAGGCAATTATTCATTAAGTCCACAGTCCTCAAACAGCACGTATTGCTCCCATATATTACTGAAAACACTAATAAAAGACGAAAAGATATTGTCTGCCCCAAAATTATATCATCAAAACATACTTTTATTTCAAGATTTTTTGTGTTTCTTGGACCATTTTTGTACAATAAATTAAACGCTAAATATTCCATTTATAATTTCTGTTGCTTTAAGGTAAAGAAAATTCTCCAAGAAGCTCTTCAAAATATGTCCTATGAGGATACAGAGAATTTATTTATTATCGTAAATTAAATGTTGTCTTGTTTAAGTGTACATTTTTTATTTATTTTTTTTATTTTTTTAATGGCAATTTATTATTTAATTGTTTAATTTTATTTCATAAGATTCTCCTAAAAAGTATTTATAATATTAATAGTATCCACATTTATAATTAGTAGTACTTTTTACCTGAAATACAGGAATTTCCTAGTTCAGGTACATGTGTTATTTTTACATTAAATCGCATAAGTAGTCTTTAGTTTTCTCTGTACATTATGTTACTGAATAAACAATTTTATTTATTTATTTATTATTATTTATTTACCTATGTATTTATGGTGTACTTATATGGACGACAACACACTCATCGGCCCGGTGCGGTGTGTTGTCGTCCATATAAACGCACGGAATTAGGCCCGCCGCGGTCCCAACCTGACACTCACCCGCTCTCTGTGTGTTTCACGCTTAATTATGTAATTATTAGTAGTATTTATATAATTATAATGTATTTAATTGAATGGTGATAAGAAATAAAGTGTCAATCCACAAACACACGAGAATTGTAGCTTATCGTCTCGTTTACGTTTTAAAAACATTAACTAAGTGATTTGAAACCTCCAAATAATAAAAAAAATGTTAACATAATTCCAAGCCACAACCATGAAAATATCTTTAGGTGCCGTTTTCTCTAAACTATCATCATTTTGATTGACACCTTAATGCTTATCACCATCCAATTATACAGCAGGGAATTTTTAATTAAGCTTGTTTTCGTTAAGTAGGGGTTTAAGTTCTGCAATGACTGTAAACTGAAATGTCTATTAGCGACAAACCAATTTGCAATACTTACACGTAATTAATAGATTCAAGCCATACTTTGCGGAAGTTCATGTTAATAAAAATGGAAGTAAATTAATCGTGCAAAAGAGCTGCGCTTGTGTTGAATAATAATAATTAACTGAATGAAAAGATATTCAAGCGCAGCTATTGTACGATTAACCTTCACTGGGTTCGCGGAGTAGCAAATTAATTTACTTCCATTTTTATACTTACACGTGTTTTATGTTTTACCAGACCGTAATTTATGTCGATATTTTAGTCTGTCCTTATGAACAAAAAATTATCAAGAAGAGTGATATTAAGGCGGAGATTCATTCTGTTGCAACGGTTTTTGTAGAAACTCCAGCCTTATTTTTATACAAGCTAGTGCCCGTGACGACTAAAAATAAATAAATAACGTCCACGCTGATAGCCCCGCACTAGGAAGACCCTGTATCGCGTGTGCCATGGATGGCTTCCGTGGTCGAGTGGCTTGCACACCGGTTTTCATGGTGTCGCCATCTCTGAGGTCCCGGGTTCGATCCCCAGCCGGGTCAGTGTAGAAACTAACTTTTCTATATTGTCTCGGGTCTGGGCGTTTGTGGTACCGTCGTTGTTTCCGATTTCCATAAGTGCTTTAGCTACTTACTTTGGGATCAGAGCAACTTATGTGATGTTGTCTAATATTTATTTATTTATATATATGGACATACGCATAGACAACCACAAATTACAATCAAACTCACGAGAAAAATAAATGTAGACCATGCAAACATTTATCCCGGCTCGGAAATCGAACCCGTGACTTCTGCGTGCCAGACCAGAATGGTTACCGTTCGGCCACGGAGGCTGTCAGTAAGATTCATTTTAGAGACAATCTGTAGCCTATATCCTTCTCCTAGGTCTCATATATGTCTACACCAAAATTAATCAATATTGGTTTAGTTGGTTAAGCGTTAAAACGTAGCAGACAAGAGTTACTTTCGCATTTATAATATTAGTGTGGATTGTAAACAACCTTTAGATGTTTCTACTTCGATCTGTTTTTTTTTCGTAGAATAAAAAGAACACAGCAAAATAGGGATTATGCTAACCGTTTAGTCTTCTGGTGGTGGATCCTCTGGAAACTTCAACCTATCTCGCCGAATGCATGCCGAGCACTGGAAAACAAAAAAAAATCAACGCTATCAAACACTAAGAAAAATTCCTTCGATCCGGCTGGATTCGAACCAGAGCCCGCAAAGCAATCCTTGCTAAACGCTCTGCCAACTAAGTCACGGAACGAACCAGCAGATTTTACGAATTCGTCTATGTGCTTGTTGCAGACATTTTTTTTTGTTTTTAACATTGACTTACAAATAAATGGACGACGGGTCTAATACAAAAACCACGAAAAAATGTCCCAAGTCAACCTATTCGAAATTTAAATTGTAATGTCATCGCAGTATCGCGCTGTCAGTCGAACAAATGAAGACTAAAGCGGAGTTTGGCGCTCTGTATACGATTTTAGCGCCTTACAAGTGCGGACACTTTTTAGCGCGGACCCGACGTCCATATAATTGTAAGTCAATGGTTTTTAAGGAGTATTTTTGCTGTATTTTACTACCGTGAATATCATATTAGTAAAATATCGCGACATGCAATAAAAAAACTTAATTTCACATATCGCACTACTATTACAATAGTGTTGTACCTCATCATATGTGAAATTTAATATTATATCATTATTGAACCTAAAATTTGATTCTCTACACGGCAAAAAAACCGTCGTTAGAATATTATAAGAAACAATCAAAAGATATCTATTTAATTCAAAATGAGACACATTTCAGGTGAGATAGTTCTGGCCAAAATATTCCATATTCAAAAATATGAAATTATTTTTTCCATTTCATTTTTAAATATATTTTGGAAATTGTTTGTGTCTATAATAAACTATAACATATACATACATTTTAACGATTTTTTCATTGATTCTGAGAAAGTCCACTTTTTGAGTTAATACACTATAGTATTAACAGTGCGATATACCTACATAATGAATAGTAAATGTTTCATACAGTTCGTATTATTTTTTTTACGTTATTGTCAAAAGCACTTTTGAAATTTGCAGCCCATCAAGCACTTTTTGTAATGATGATTTTGTAGAATTACATTGAGGAGTGTAGTACCGTTGTAGATGTAAGGAAAAAAAGCGCTACTTTAAGGTTTGGTTTCAATTTTCTTCTGTGCAGGTTTCGTAGAATAGAACACTTATTTGGCGCTCCGGAAATTCGCCACTTTGTCAATTTTTGTCGTGGTGCCCTTTGTTTTATTATTTCTTTGTAATTCGCACCTATTAGGTACAGTCAACAGCACATCAAGCTATACGCACTCCCCAGCGAATAATATGGTAACCGATAATTGTAAATTTTACAGGTAACATAGAAAACTACTTTTTGTGTAAATCTCAGCTCGGGTGCATCGTAGGATAGTTATTTCTATATCAAAACAAAGCTAATTTTTTAAAGTTTACTTTTTTTATGATATTTTGTATTAGTTTTACTAAATAAAGTTATTGATGAAAATTATATTACTGAAATTGCAGGCCGAAAGTATAGTATGTAACGCATCATTACCATATTATTCGCGTGTAAACCCGACGATTTCGTAGTCAGTATTAATGCATTACCGTATTTTCATTGAAATATGGTGTCAAAAAAGGTAACGGTAATATGATATTACTACTTTATTCGGATGAAATCAAGCGATAGCGTATACAGGAATAGTACATTACAGCAATGTTCGTTGATGTATGGTATCAAAGAATGAACAGTAATGTAATTATGCAAATACATTCTATATGAAAATAAAAATAGCACACGAATATAGTTGTTTTAATGTGTTTCTTACGCGAATAAAATGGTTATGATCACTTAGGGAAAAAATTAACGATTGCATAATCTGTACTAACTTATGGTATTATTCGTGTAAAAAGGATGTTTAGATATTAAGGGAATAATATTATTATGTTCATTACGGGCCAATGAAATTAATGTACTTTTATAAGTATCCATAGAAATATTAATAAGAAAACAAAATTACAAGGTCTAATTAACACTCTAAACAGAGATATACAATAAAATGAAAACTACCGCAGCAGCATATTACCATATTATTCGGTGGGAAGGGCGTAGTCTTTTGTTCGAATATCGTCTCCAGTGCAACGGAAGAGAATCCGTCAATCTGTAGCTTGACGTGCTGCCATCAGTACGTATGGTATTGATAGGTATGGCGTTTAACGTTTTACGTATTCATTGACGATATGTCCAGTGCGGGACATATAGCGAAAGAAAAAGTCCTAAAATATTAGTCGTGACACGACGAAGTTATCAAAATTTACCACGCGACATCCTGACACGACGAAATTGACAAATCTACCAAGCGACGCCATGACACGACGAAGTTAACAAAATTTACCACGCGACGTCGTGACACGACGAAATTGTCAAATCTACCACGCGACGCCGTGACACGACGAAATTATCAAAATTTACCACGCGACGTCGTGACACGACGAAATTGTCAAGTCTACCTCGCGACGCCGTGACAGATAAATTGGACGTAGTTAACAAAAAGGATCCAGTCACTTTCGAGATATGGCAGTTTGAAGTTTAAAAATATTTCTCACTCTTGTTTTAATTTTCAAAACTTATAATGTCATGTAACTCCAGACATATATATTTATGTTTGTATATTGGATTTTTTGCTGATGTAAGAGGTTAGACTTTAGGAACCGTTTGGTACATATTATAACTCATTTTTTGTTAATATTGTGGATTGCATCCTTTTTGCTAACCACGGCCAATTATCTCTTCGATTAATTTTACCGTAGTTATTCGAAGGTTTAAGATCGGTTAGAGCGTTTAAGTTGTAGCAGTTAACAAACATACGCACTTATACGCGTTACACACGTCGTTACATTGTAGTTAGTTTCGCAGTTGCCCTATAAAAATATACTTCAATAGAACAAAGGGTGCTAACCGGCTTCTCTTTACTTTTGCCTTTTCTCATGAACCAGTAAACAAATGCGATAGCCCCCACGGCAGCCGTTACTCCAATAGCTTTGTACACACCATCATTGCCACCGACATTCGTGTTGCTAGGCATTGTCGTTTATTCTGCAACAGCTTTAAATATCCGAGTTATAATGCCTATATAGAACTAGACACCATTTCCTGACACCCTTAAATTACGACTCAAGAACGCAATTCATCGCGTGCGTTTCGAAAGAATGTATATAATATATGAGAATGAATGACGAAATAAACATTATTTACTGGCAGTTAAATAATTCTTTCATAATTTAAATTTTCCCAATAATAACATAGATTATTACAAGAAAATACTTGCATATATCTGTCCTGTACAAGAATTCTTCTCGAACTTGGAAAGACTTACGAGGAAACGCATATCGAACAAATGATTGTTGATAAAATCAGGGACTGATTCTTGATAAAATCCGTGTAAATTTTGCGTTTGTTTTCTGGCTGTCCATTATTTGTTTTCCTAATAACAAAAACATAGTTGTAACTCAGCGGTTGCTTCATTTCATTTGATATTTATTGTGAAATAAAAGTTATGATGTCATGGTACTTCGTTATAGTGCTATTTCTTGATTTCATCCATATTATGTTGCTATTGTGCACATTTACATGCAAATGTATTATAGAGCCAAAGATACATGTCAATTAATGACAAAGCAAATCAAATGCAAAAATCAAAGATAATGAATATAATACAAATCTTAGAGGATGGAAAAAATAAAAAACAAATACTTTCAAAAAAGATGACACTTTTGTCATTTTGCCATCACTTACATCATGTAGTATTAGAGTTTTTTAATAGCAGTAGAGCGCCTTGTGAAAGAATTCGTCTAGGGAAGTACTTTACCTATTTCTGCCGCCAAGCAGTAATATGAGAGAGAATGGAAAAAAATAAAGGAAAGGAGCTACCCTACCAACGGAATAAACGTGGCTACCTAAACCAAAATTGTGCACCACAAATAGCGGATTTCTTAGTGTTGTATCATAGTCATTGATAAGTCAATATCGACATGCAAATATTATGGCTTGAATGTTGAGACTGTTTTTATGTTTGTAATTTGTATAGTTTACTATAATCAAGGTGTGATTAAAAAGTTTAATGAAAGCATATCAATATTTCATTTGGGAATGTTTTATGCCATGTGGGAATGTCCGAGAAATTTCATATGAGATTTAGAATTTATTAGTTTGCATTTATATATGCTCAAATATTACGAAAAGTGAATTTGCAGAGAAAAAATGTAATTTGAGAGTATGTTAAAGAAAGAGAGAGTTTTGTAATATAAGTCTGGAGATCTCTACGCATTTCGAATCTCAAGATTGATATTAGAAAGGAATTATATAAAGGGATATCCAGATTTAGATTACATTTTTTTCTCTTTTTTTAATGTACTCTCAAACTTCATTTTTTTCTGTACAAGTTCACTTTTCGTAATATGTGAGCATTTATAAATGCAAAATAATAACTTCAAAATCTCATATGACATTTCCGAATATTCCCATATTTATGACATAAAACATTCCCAAATGGAATATTGATATACATTAATTAAACTTTTATTAATCATACTTTGATTACAGGAAACTATACAAATATACGCTTTGTTTTTGGTTTGTTTGAAAAAACAAATATACGCGATTTAAATCCGGAAAAATAGTTTCATTCCTATGTATAACAATCGCGAAAACCTAAGAACTCGATATATACAAATTACAAACATAAACAACATTCAAGCCATACATTTGCATGTCGATATTGACTTATCTATGATTACGGTACAACAATAAAACCGCCATATGTGTGGTACAATTTTGGTTTAGGCAAGTACGTTTATTCCGTAGATAGGGCAGCTTCTTTCCTTTATTTTTTTCCATCCTCTATGGAAATTACAGACTTATAGGAGTTGTCAATTTGTCTCAGGTGACGAGCGCAGTGGGAATGCCCCTCAGATCTTTGCGATTTAAAAGACTCTAAAATTGAACTTCGACACACGCTACTCCGACAATAAGTTACATCGACATGATTTAGAGTTGCCCGAAACGTACCTGTGACACTAGAACACTATTATATCCCCAATCCAACTCCAAATTTTTTCACAATTCTTTAACTGTAAGTGCAACTCGTATGTGGAATAAACTACCTGCTTACATTCGTGACAGTCCATCAGTGGCATCTTTCAAATACAAATTAAAAGAGCACTTCCTATCGAACGCATTATAGTTAATCGGTAAGTAAATCTGTTATTATAATATATTTATATTCTGCTTATGTATGTATTTATGTATATAAAGTTCACGTATGTGTATATATCTGTCGTATGTATATTATAAATGATGATGATATACATACGCCAGATATAATATAATAGGGGTTAAAGTATGAAATTGCCGATTTGTACTGAAAATCTAAATTGTTTATTTTTTAAATTTTTAACAAATTTATTTAATCAAAATAGTTGCCATTATTATCTATACGTTGCTGCCATCTAATGGGAAGGTTATTAATGCCTTTGCGCTAGAACTCCGACGATCTAGACTGCACAAACTGTGTGAAAGCATTTTGTACTGCCTCCTGGGAAGAAAACTTCTTGTCACGTAGATAATTGTCCAAATCACGAAAAAAATGGTAGTCCGTTGGAGCAAGGTCTGGTGAATACGGAGGATGACGAATGGTTTCTAACTGCAGTTCCTGAAGGGTCAAAATGGTTTCTCGTGCTTTGTGAGGTCTCGCGTTGTCGTGGAGCAATAATGGTGAAGATCGATTCATGAGTCGGGGCTGTTTTACTGCTAGTTTTGTCAACATGGTTCGGAGTTCGGCACAATAGACATCTGCCGTTATTGCTTGACCAGATCGGAGAAAACTATAGTGAATAACACCATGCTGAGACCACCAAACAGTTACCATTACCTTTTTATTGGTAAGTTTTGCTTTAGGACACTGTTGTGGCATTTGACCTGGGGTCAGCCATTGCATTTTTCTTTTCCGGTTATCATAAAGAATCCACTTTTCATCACATGTTACAATTCGATCCAATATTCCTTCATTTCTGTACCGGTTCAACAAGGCAACACAAGTTTCAACACGCGTTTCTTTCTGCAGATCAGTCAAATCATGAGGCACCCATTTTTCGTATTTTTTTATTTTATTGATTTGACGCAAGCGAGTCAATATTGTGGGTAAGGTAACGTTAAACCATGCCGCTAATTCCTGGGTAGTTTGACTAGGATCGGCTTCCACTATCTCTCTTAATTCATCGTTATTCACCTGTGTGGGCGGTCTTCCTCGTGGCTCGTTCTTTAAGTCGAAATTTCCATCACGAAAGCGTTTAAACCAAAATCGCACGGTGCGTTCATTAGTAGACCCCTCTCCAAACGCAGCATTGATATTGCGGGCTGTTTCTGCCGCGTTAGTTCCGCGTCGGAACTCGTATTCAAAAATCACTCGAATTTTCGCAGTATCCATCTTTCTTGTCTAAATTGAATAACAAAAACAATTGAAAGTCGATATTCAAATGTTTCAAATTTAAAAAAAAAAATCACAGAAACCATTTGAAAAAAGTTTCATTCGAAAACCTCAAACCATGAAGATTCTATGAAAATTCAAAGAACCTATTGCAATAAAACGGCAATTTCATACTTTAACCCCTAATATATTATTCACATTAAAATTTTAATTTTGTGGTACAATAATTAGTCCCGCAGACTTCATTTTTGCACCACGGCTAGGGTTGGCTGGAAGAGATCTCTTACAGAGATAAACTCACCTTTGTATATGTCCGTCGTAACGTGTGTTTTATGTGTCTTTTCTTTGTAGAATAAAGAATATATATAAAAAAATCGCTTAAACTTTTCTATCTATTCTATATCATTATATTCTATTTCACTACATATTTATTTATTGTTTAACATCAACAACAACAACAACATCTTCAACATAACATGTTATCAGTTATACGTTGAATTATTATTTAAATAATTGGAAAGTTAAACTAACTGTATGAATTTCGTCCAACAAGTTCAACTTTTTGAAAAGTTGTACCTAGTTGAACTAATTGGAATATTTGTGTCCGATTAGTTCCACTGACTGAACTTACAGTTGAACTTAGCGGAATAGATAGTATTTTTCATGTTTATTAACTGATACAGTTTGAGAAGGGTGCTAACAAAAAGAGTCAAGAAATCACATTCCCCGCGCACACAATGCCTGTAAGAGTTTTGTATAAATCACATACAATAAGCTACCGTGATGAGATGAGAGGTTATTTTATTTTCCATGCCAGGAATTGACCCACAGCATAGAACAATAAATACAATAGAAGTGCCTAGTGAGCGTGGAACATGCGCCACCAGTGCGCGGAATTGCGCATACTTGTGTCCAGTGCGCGGAGTTCCGCATACTTGTTGTCAGTCCGCCATTTTCGCTTAATAGTTATATTCGTGTCAATTATCAAAACCAGGAAATAAACTGTCTATTTTGCTACTTTGGAGTGCAAATATTATCGTTGTGGTGTTTCATATCATCGTTAATAATAGATTTTCTGTTATCAGAAACGAAAATAAACCTTATGGTGTTGCAATATAGTCGACTTTTTTTTGAAGAACCTTAATCGTACGTCGTCTTTCAACTATTGCTGCTAGATAGCAGTACATTGAATGAAACTTCAATATAAAATCAAAACGTAACTTGCAATAATAGATACTGAACTTTCCACGAAATGCCTACAGAGTAACAGTCCAGAATTGATTACATCTTTAAATTAGAAACTACAGTCAATCATTACCAAGGTTTTTTATTAGTGTCTAACAATAGTAATCGAGGCTTTACGTTCTTCCATTGTTTTTTCTTCCATGACCAGGATTCGAGTAATATGAGTGAGTTCCTCGCAAACGTTCGACTTTCTAAGTATTATCAACATATATAATTAATATAAACAGATATCAATAAATAACCTTACATTTAATAGAAACAGTCCAGTTCACAACAAGTTGGTAAGCTTATAGTTACTATAGAATTATAGGATACAAAGAATCCATATGACGGCTGTCATCCCACGAAACATTTGGACCGGGGTACTTCGCAGCCGTCTCCGCTTGACTTTGACGACGACGGCTGATTGCCCATGTCGGATGGCCGTCTCATGAAAAAGAAGTATGCAACTGCAATCCCCGCAACTATCGTTACGCCTATAAGTGCAGTTTTCAAAGTATCGTCATTACTACTCATCGTAATTTTACAGCAGCTTTTATTTATTTAAAAACAGCAATATTGGACAATAATTTGCACAGTCAGTCAAACTGCAACAAAATAAATCAGGTTTTATCAAGGAGCCTCCTGCGTGGAACGATATGCCATGGCAAATAATGCCATACACGTCACTGTGGTAGCGGCAGGGTGACATCGTGGGATGGTAGAGGAACCGTCAAGTCGAAATTGTTAGGACCGTCTCG